CCAGCCCGGGCGGGGCTGCGGGTGCAGAGAGCGGTTACGCCGCTTTGCGGGCAGCCTCCTCACGGGGGACCTTTATTCCGAGGACGAAGCGGGGCCGGGCGCGGGCGGAAACGCGCTTCGGCGTTGCCTGTGGGAAGGACAACCGTTCTTGTGCTCATCTTCGCGAAAGAGACTTCTCTGACCAGAACTACTTCTCCCCCAGGTACTACGTGCAGGGAGTGTGTCGGGAGGGAAATAAGTGTCTGTTCTCGCATGACTTGGCTACAAGCAAATCCTCGACCGTCTGCAAGTATTACCAGAAGGGGCAGTGCGCCTATGGAGCTCGGTGCAGGTAAAGACCTGACTCTTTGGGGGATGGGGAGTTCAGAAGAACTGGGCGGCGTAATCGCGTGCAGTCAGCTTTAAACTCCAGGGAATCAAAGATCAAGAAAAGATAAGACTTTTTAAATGACAAAGGGAAGGAAATAATGTATTAAACGTGAGCTTTTTCTCCCCTGGCCAAAACCAGCGTATGGATGCAATATTACAGTTTTACCCTGCCTCGGCTTCAGCCGTTATTTGACTCTAGAAATTGAAGTTCAGGTTTCACGTATGTTTTCGTCTGGTTCGCATCATAGTAAGACCTGTTAAATACAAAAAGCCAGAGCCTCCGATGTGCCGCTTCACATGAAACGACATTTGGCTGCGTGGTTTGCTTTCCACATGACTGAAGCGTCTGGAAGCGGGCGGTGTTTCGGCAGTGCTTCCCTCCGCTCTCCTGGTGTAGCTCGTAGCCTCCTTTGTGCAGATTCTAACGCGCAATTTCAAGGACTTTCGGTCCTGTCTTAAAGCAGAGTGTTTTTCTCACACTCCCCCAGGTTTGGCGGGAAAGCTGAGCGGTGCCACACCTTTTCCTGAAGTCTTCTGGTTAAAACTCCTTGAGAAATGCTCTAGTAAATACTGTGCGTTAGTTAATGTTGTTACATTCCGCCGGGGAGGTGCCACAGGGCAGCCCGTGGCTCCTTTGTGGACGAATTCTGGTGGCGGATGAGAAGCCTGTGTTTGTACCTTCACCTGGCAACACCAGGGGATCTGGCAGCATTGCTGTCATTGCAGTGGCTTAGTTATAGTTCCTTTCCTTTGCTTAGCTCGGGGTACCAAGCTTGGATCAGGAGGCTGAGCGTCGGTGATTTCTGTAGCTTCTGTTGGCTGCTCGCATCGAGTTAGTAACGTATAGTGTTGCTGACAGCCGTGTTAGTCACGGGGACCACGTCATACGCTGGCCGGACCGTAACGATGGCTGCCAAGCCTGGTGCGGTTTTACTCCAGCTGTTTTGGTGGAGTTCAGGGCACCCGATGCGCATAAGCGATTCGTGCGTATGGCACATCTGTAGGCACTAAGTACGGGACCAGAAACAGATACAGAGGATATTTCTGTTCCCATCAAAAAAATTCCAGGGTTCAGGTGTGTCCATGGCTTTACTGGACCAGCCTCTGTACTGCACCGATTGCTCCGCTGCTGGAGTGTATCTCCATAGCTTTACCGGATGTTTCGAGTCCTTTCCTATCCCCTATGCAAATGCTGCATCTTCTCCTGTGGCGTGGGAGCGTAAAGTCTAAGCGTTGCTGCTTGTAAGGGGAAAACAAGACCTCGAAATGTCACTCCTTCCTGCACAGCATTTTGAGGTTGCTTCTCAGAAATGCCAGCAAACCTGTTTGTGTGAGGAGATGACGAAGACCTAATTTAATATGCACATGAATAATGTTCTTTCAGCTGTGCTGGGTGTCTCTGGAGAAGAAAACAGAGGTGTGCTTTCAGAGGCATCCATTTTCTGAGGCTGAAAAACCTTTTGGTCTGGATCCGAAAGAGACTGAGCAGTTCAGTCAAATTGTCAGAACAATCCTTTCCAAAAAAAAAAAAAAGCAGCTATTCAGTTTTATTTTGTTTAAATATTCACTGGGGGAGCTGTCCCGCCACTGTGCTAAGTTTAGCCTTTATAACACTTGTTCTGTCTTTTTCCTCTCGCAGATACGATCACACCAGACTCCCTGCATCAGGGGGTGCAGCGGCCCCTGCGCCGCCTCCCCTCCCGTCGGCAGCGCCGCACAATCCTCGCCATCCTCCCGAGCACAGCGCGCCGATAATCAGGAGCAAACTGCACGAGACTGGCAAACGGGAGAAGAAAACGCTGGTGCTCAGGGACAGAAGTGAGTGGGAGCGGTGCTGTGCTCGTCCTCCTTGATGCTTGATAGGAGTTAGCTGGTTTTTCTCCTTCTATTACTTGAGTTTCACGGACAGCTGGAGAGGTGCAGTCGGACTTCCTACCCGACGAGGCCTCTTTCCTGGAAACGCTTGTGCCTGGCAGTGCCTTTGAATGACCGTGTCCAGCTGGCTGGCTTTTAGCCTGGTGTTCCCTGAAGGATGGTTTTTGTTTGGGGGGATTTTGCGGGGTGTTTTTTTGTTTTGATTTGGGGTTTTTGGTCAAAATATCTCTGCCCCTCAGATCTTTCTGTGCATTTTGTACTCAACGTGAGGGCATGTGAAATGGTGAGAAACCTGGCCGCTTTGTGCCAGGGTACCTGGCGCGCGCTCTGTGGAGGATTGTGCCAGCCCTTAGGAACACAAGCACGGAGATGTCTGTCCACGCCTGACGGGCAGGGCAGAGGAGCCGAGCCCCCCTGCCGCCTGCACCCCTGTTCCCACCTGTTCTCTCTGTCGCACTGGATGGGCCGGTTGCCCTAATGTGAAACGAGAGGATTTTTTAGCCTATTTGTAAACAGAAAACAGCTGAAGAAATCTTGAAATCAAACTTTTCAGTAGGTAGTTTGTGAAAATTTCTGTGATTTGTGAGCAAAAGGGGCTTAGAGATGAGATTTCATTCAGGAGAAAACTTTTAAAAAAAAAAACTGGTAATCATTGGAAAGAAAGTATATGGAGCTTCTTGAGTGGGTTTTGTGCAGTGTCTTGTACGGTTCATATTATGTTTCTGTTTCCCAAGATCTGTGTGGCTTGACTGAAGAAAAGCAGAAACCCAGTGCCGCAAGCGGTGTGCTGTGTTGCAGTGACCAAAATGACAATCTGGAAGTGAAGCCCCATTCGTATTTGGAAGCTATTTGCAGCGGACTGGAAGATCCGGCAGCTGGAAGCTCCTGCGCTGACGGAGAGCAGCTGTGTCCTTACGCTGCGGCGGGAGCGTGCCACTTCGGGGATCGCTGCCTTTACCTCCATGGAGACGTGTGTGAGATATGTGGATTGCAAGTACTTCACCCTTTTGACCAAGAACAGAGGAAGGCTCACGAGATGGTAATATTAACATGAAATTGGTGTGAGGTTTGCTTTGCTCAGTGCAAGATTTGGTTGGTTTGCTCCAAAATCCAAAGATGTGTTTTGTAGAAGAGCCTGTTGTTCCAAAGAGCTTTTGTTTTATTGTTTGTCTAGCTCTAAAATGATCCTAAAAGCAGTCTGTTCAAGCATCTGCGGCTTAGTTGGTAACGATGATGCAGATAGCCTTTTACAGCAACTTCTTTTTTTCCCATTTCATCCTTATCGGAAACTTGCCCGCAGCCGGTCTGCTGAGTCACCTCTTTAAAAGTCTCTTCCTGGTCGTGGCCGATTTCAGGGCAGGGTCAAGTAGGGACAGGCTGAACGGAGTACAGAGATTTTGGAGCTGAACTTGAAGCAGGACGGCTGGAGGGACTGGATGAGGAACTGGTTGGGTAAAGACGGGCTTAAGGGGCTGCTCTTTTCTCTGCCTGGCTACCAGATTTAGGTCAGGGCTGGTCAGGAACAGGAGTTCTCAAGGCTGAGGAAGAGAAAGACCAGCAGCGTTAGTGGTTACTGAATCATAAGTGTCTCCAGAATCTGGAGTAGAATCCAAGGGGTTAAAAATCTCAGGTTTTGTGCAGTCGGCATATATTTGCAAAACGTGCTGGCGTAGGAGTTCTCACTTCTCCCGGGAGCTCGTTGATGTCTGGCAGGGTGTCCCGTCACCGGTGCTGTCAGGTGCTCAGCTCCGGAAGCAGAGGTGTGTGTTGGATGAGAAGGTGCAGTAGTCAGAATGCTGCCATTAATGTGGAATTAATTTTGTGTCTTTTTTTTTTTTATTACTGTAATTTAAAGTCTTTTAAATTTATTTTACTTGTCAAGCCCAGAGAACTTAGAAACGCAAGAGGTAAAACTATGCAGGTATAACCAGCAGCTCACCTTGCAGTGCTGTGAAAGTGTAAATTGGTTATTGATTGCCACTGCTGGGATACTGTGCTGAGAAACGCTGTAGGAAAGCCTGTAATGAGAGACTAATTCCTTAGCTAGGGTAAAGCTTAATATCTGGTGGATGAGTGTGGCCTTAATGCTAAGCAGAGTAACATCTTGAGTGTGGCATCCATTCTGGACCCTGAATTAGATGGGTTTAGGGGTATTTGAAGCATTTCCTTGTGCAATACCTGTTCCACGACAGAGGTATGGAAAGGTGTAAATGAAGAGTGTTCAGGCATTTTTACTTCTGATACTCCTGAAGCTGCAGAGAACATTGAAGGGCTGAAATATGTGATTTAATGTTCTTAGAATTAAATTATGACGATGAAGGGTAAGAATGATGCTCTTAATCAGCGTACCTTATTTTTCCTGTAATAGAACCCTTTCATAGACACGCTTGTTTTACCAGGAGCAGGCTGATCTATGGACTGCAGTAACCAATGCCGTCTCTCCTGTGACAGATGTGCATGGCGACATTTGAGCATGACATGGAGAAGGCCTTTGCCTTTCAGGCAAGCCAGGACAAAGTGTGCAGCATCTGCATGGAAGTGGTGTACGAGAAGCCATCAGCCTCCGAGAGGAGGTTTGGGATCCTTTCCAACTGCAATCACACGTACTGCTTGTCTTGCATCCGGCAGTGGAGATGTGCCAAGCAGTTCGAGAATCCAATCATAAAGTAAGTTGGTGTTAACCAGAGTCTCTTCTCTGTGGCCTGTGTCAGCGAGTTGGGCTCTCCGGTGTGCTTCGTCTTGACACGGAAATAAAACTGGTGATAAGGGATTCCTTAGCTGTAAATATTAGCACAGCCATTAATAAATCCGAGCTCAGAAAATCCCAGTCCAAGTGCTGGCAAACGCCAGGACATTGGAGTATGGCTGTGAGAAGAACTACCTTAAAGACGAGTAGGATGCGTCGGGTATCCTTTGGTAACAGTTTACTTACATGCTGTGGCCCTGTGCGGGAAGAGCTGGGCCCTTTGTAACTTAGCCCTCTCTCGTTGCGTTGACGGTGGGGCAGAGTGCACACGTGTGGACTCTGGAACAGCTGAGACCTTGTTATCCTGTGCCCTTCACAGTACCCTGCGTGCAGGAACAGTAACTCCTTTTTTTCTGTGTATATGTGCTTAATTACTGGATTTTTCTCTAAATGATAGTTTATTCAAGCTAAATGTGCCATTAATCACACATTTATCTTTATCTGAGTAAATGCCTTCATCTTCTAGCTATATAAAAAGTGCATTCCAAACATGCTCCTCCTTAGGTGACAGATTTTAAAACATCTAATGAGGGCAATTTCCATTTTTTGAGCATCTCTCTGAAAACCCTCTCAAGTTACAAGCGTGCTGAGGAAAAGGTGGGAAAGATTTTCAGTCTTCTGCCAAAATAGACTTTTCTGCACAACTTTCATCATAAGTTTCATTGAAGTGAACGTTAGCTCTTTAGAACGTAACCTGTATTGGAGTCGAGCTTCTGGTGGACAGGTACTGAGATATTCTGCCTAAGGTAGGGACTGTGAGGTGTTTTTTCAGAAACGGCACCCTGGAAACCGGTTTGAGTATGGATTCAATACTAATACAAATTCTTCAAATATGTTTTTTACATTTCTCCATAATGGTGAACGTACCGGTCGCTGCAAAGCTAATCTAAGGGGGGGACTTGGCTTAGTTCTAAAAGCACTGCCTGCTGGGAGGCAAGGTGCTTTATGGGGCTTACGGGGAGGGGGTGATAAAGCCTTTCCTAGGCTTGTTGAGGTACCTGAAGTTGCATATTTGATTCTTGATCTTTGTTCATGTAGAAATCCATCCCATAAAACCACTAAGTGAAGAACTCATCACTGCTGGTAGAAGTCAGAGTATGGGGATTAGCAAACGCAGTTTACTTCTGCGTATTGAGGAAATAAATACCTGTTACTTTTGTTCGGGTCTAGAAACAAACGCAAGGTAACGCAAGCCCTGACTGCACTGAATTGGATCATTTTGATTGATTGAAACTAATCACAAATGTGCACGTGTGCTGTACTGCCGTCTGCCGCTTCAGCGTGACAAACCATCTCCCTTTCCCTCGGGAGACTGCTGTTTCTGGCAAATTTATTCAGGAGTATCACGCTCGGCAAGTAACAGCATTGCTGTTTTGTCTTGATCCATTAAGGTCTTGCCCGGAGTGCCGCGTGATATCCGAGTTTGTCATTCCCAGCGCGTATTGGGTGGAAGACCAGGAGAAGAAAAACGAGCTGATTGAAGCATTTAAGCAGGGAGTGGGGTAAGTTCAGTAACCGCAAATACTGTTTGCATTGTCCCTAGTGTAGGTACACCAAGACTTAAGTCAATCAAAGCGCCTGTATTTTTAAACTTTACGTAATTGCAAACCATTCCACAGAGAACTCTTAATCCCTGTTAACGCTTTTATTTGACAGCTATGAAGGGGTCTGTTGTGTAATTATAGACCAGAAATTACTCCAACTCACTGTGCTCTGAAATGTTGAAGCCATTTCAGGTCACTTGCCAAAATTGGCTTCACGCGTTTTCTGTTGATCCCTTAGACACAATTGCCTGGAAGGTTGTCAGTTACTGAGGAAAACAACTAGGGAAGGAAAATGTAATAGTCTCTTGAAATATGGGATAAAAATTCAGGGGGCTTTTGTAATGTCTACTGGAAATGGTAAATACTACGGGACTGCATTCCTTTTATTGTCTAATAACGATTTGCCTGGTGCTCGGAGCGCTGGGAGAGGTCTGCTGACGGGTAGTTTTACAGCAGCTTTGCAAAGCTGTGCTTGCCCGGAATGCGTTAAGGGTTGTGTAGTTCACAGAACGGTAAGACAGCATTACTTATCTCTTTGCTCACTCTTCTTAAGGTAAACAAGCAGAGCTGTGCTTGACCTGAGTGAGCGATGACTTTTTGCTGAAGGTTGTACAGCTTTATTCTGTGATGTGCACCAACCTTTAAGCATGCCCTTTGGAGTACGGAAAAAAACAGGCCTAACTTAAATCCGTGTGTAGCTGTTGCTACCAGCTTTTCAGCTGCTTGGAAAGCTTTAAGTCTCCAAAGTCCTGTTATAACACAGCAGCAGAATTGTTGAAAGCAGTACTGCTCCATTAAATGAATCCAGCATCTTGCCTTGTTTTATCTTCTAGTCAGGCAAAATATTTGAATGAAATTAATCACTTTAAACTGAGGTTCTTTGGCTACGGTTTGTTTTCAGTAACCTATTGCTGTCGTGGTTTTTCATTTTAATTCATAAGGACTTTGGATTGAGAATAGTAAGTTGCGCTCAAAAGCCTCAGCTTAGCGCAGTTTTTGACTGGCCGTGCTCTCAGTGAGGTAAGCTTTTGTGTTACTGGAGTAGAGCTGTCAGGTAGTGGCAGAAGTTGGGTTTTGGCTCATCAACCTGTTGCGTAGAAGAGAATACAAAAAGGGGTTTTGCTTAAGTGCTCAGCTAAGACTAATACATTGTGTTGGAGATAGATAGCATTTCTGCACCAAAGAGGTTTTTATGGATAGATCTCTTGGCAGTCAGTTTAACTTGCGGATTTAGTACTGCACGGAATGAAAAAATGCTAACAAAGGGGCGTCTAAGCTAAGAGCAGGGGTCATGCCAGCACAAATCCATTCCGATTTATATGCCAGCACAGGAGGGAAAAAGTCAGACCTAGAAACCTGGAAGTCGCAGACCACCTGAGTTCCAAACCAAGACAAATTCATTCCGCTTTTAATGCACTGCCTGGTTGGGGGGGTTGGGTTGTTTGAGGGTTTTTTGTTATTGTTGTGCTTTCTTCTCCATTTAGTTGCTGTTTGATAAGACTGTATCTATACCTTAGGAACCAGTTTCAGCACTATTTGCACATCAAGTTTACAAGTTCAGTTGCATTTCCTCTTCAGATGTTTTTCATTGTAGAACAAGCCATCACCCCCCTCCCCACCGCCCCGAGTACTGCTGTATGGCCTCTGTAAGGGAACACCTTTACCAAAAATTGCTACACAGCTACAACAGCTTAGTTGAACGACAAAACTGATGGAATTAGCTTGGAATTAAATTAACAAAGTATTGTCATCTCCTTAACAAAGGAGATGACGAGAGGAACAGGTTCATAAAAATGTAGTGGTAATAAATACAGGAGAGGAATGTTGCTAGAGAAATAGGAACGGATTTGTTCATTAGGATGAAAATGCACGTGTAAGATCAATGACATCCTTTGAACATCCCTCACTTTTTCCATGTCTTAAGATAGTTAAATTTTTTTGACTTACGACGCTGTTCTTTTATGTCTGTCTTTGTTCGCTTTTGATGATCTTGCCCATCTATTTTGACTGCTATCAGTTAGGGAACGGGAGACCAAAACTCTCGGTGTGTTAACAGGAGCAGTACTTTGCACCACTGACTAAGGCCCATGAACTCTATTTCCTATGAGCTGAAGGCAGTAACTCTCTCTCTTCTAATTAAATCAGGAAAAAACCCTGCAAGTACTTTGAACAAGGGAAAGGAACTTGCCCATTTGGAGGAAAGTGTCTTTACCTTCATGCTTATCCAGACGGGACACGAGCTGAACCTGAAAAACCACGGAAACAGCTCAGCTCTGAGGGGACTGTGCGGGTAAGGGAATACTCCAGTCAAGTGTAACTAAAAACACATTTTGAATGTCAAGTGTACTACTTAAATATGTTTCATACCATGCAAGGCCTCAGAGAAGCGAAGAAAGCGTCCCTCAAGGCACGGGTTTGTTACTGGGGAAAGGAGAAGGCACCTTTCATTTAGTAGCAAAAATTTATTATCGTTTGGTTTTTTCCAACGAAGCCTTCTCATGGCAAACCTTTCTTCAAGGGAATTCTGCCGTTAAAGCTTTCGCCTGCAGTATTAAAAACTCATCTCGCTTGCCTGCATGTAGCTGGCAGTAAGACCAGCTAAAATGGTTAAAGCCTTCTCAAAAACTCATTATGGCTTGGCCACCACCCTGAATGGTCAAGGCAGGCCTACTGGTTTAATTTAGGTACAGCTTGTTCATGCTGGCTAGGTTGACCTCCCTGTATTCATACTGTAACACTAAAGAGAGCGGTTGGCCCTTTGAATTCAACAGCGAGTGTTGCCGAGAGCGTTAGTAAATCCTGGCACAAAGCCAGCTTTTGAATCTCAACTTCTGACCTTTTTTTTTAAATGAAGAAATAAGACTGATAATGGAAAATATTGTGATGGAACTGTGACAAGTACTGGTTCGCGCTCAATCAGATTTTCTTCTATTCCAGTTCTTCAATTCTGTTCGTCTGTGGGACTTCATTGAAGACAGAGAAAGCAGGACTGTGACCAGCACAGACGATGAAGTAACAGAACTTGGAGAACTTTTAATGCACCTTTCTGGGGCTGATGAGGATTCTGCTACTTCTCAATAAAGGGAACTAAAGGTGCTGTCTTCTATAGCCATCTAGCTATTTATTTAGCGATGCTTTTACTTTCTACAGCACAGTTAGAATCTATGTGCCCTGTGGTTTACTTGTTCAGTCCTGGTAAAGTTTTCAGATAGATGGTTTTTGTATGGCAACAGAAATACTAAAATATATTTAAAAAGTTGAATTGATTGCATGGAAAAATAGCCCTTAATCCCAAGAGGGTTTTCTCCCTCTTCAGCCTAACATAAGCTGTCTTGTGAGTTGAGTGGTAGTGTAAATACAGCTCCTCTCTTACCATTTAAAGCTTAAGCTGTTAAAAACTGTTGCTAAATCTATTTTGGATGTTTGCTTTTTTCCCCCCCTCCTTCACTAAATCAACTAAATGTCTATCTACAAAAACCCACTGGGAATAACAGTCAGTGTAGCTTTTTCTTCCTTGAAAAGGAGATTTAAGAATTAATACACTATACCTCAAAGTAGTGCCTAGAGTTCAGAATGAAGTTTACTGTATTCTTACAGTGAGTGTTTCAGTAGTGGGGCCTGGACACTGCCCCACTCTTGAAGACTCTGCAAGTCAAGTTCCTACCCTTGTTTTAAAATAATTAGAGTGTATAGTGGCAGGAAGTGTCTCTTAGAGCACCCGTTGTAAAGCAAATACAACTGTGCTGATTATTATATTCAGGCAGAGCAATACTGGAGTGACAACATACAGCTAAATTAAACTTACAGCACAAACTGGATTTTGGAAACTGTATCATGAGAGCACGCAGTTACTTTCAATAGTCATTGCAACAGCAATAGTTAAATTGAAAAAAAATTAACTAGTTCGAATGTATTTAACTGGAAGGGAAACCTTGATTCGGGTTAAATGAAGCAGCCAAAATTAAATGAAGCAACTAAGTAATTTTCTGATCTCCTTATGTCAGTGATCTTATAGTTCGCAGCTCTACAACATAAATAATTGCAGTTACAAAAGAAACATTAGTTTTAACTGCTGCTTTTCTTACTGTGTGGCTGATACTTAGGCTTTTCTATCTCCACGTACCTCTGGCATAGTGAGCGATACCTTTCTGAAGCTGTACGTACAGTCTTAGAACAGCCCCGTTTCCACGCACCTCCCATCCCCAGCTGCAGCTGGCAGACAGCGCTACTGAAAGCACAGGCAGGAGTTCAAACGTTGCCCACGTAAGTGACATTTCAGGTGGCTGCACCGGTACTGGCAGCCGGCTCCTTCACCTGTAGCAGTTCTTCAGGAGGTCTCTGGCTCCAGCCGCCCGTTTGCCTCTTTCAGATTAAGGACAGCAATGTTAAAGGCCCAGGAGGTGTGAGGTATTAAGGCACAGCTCTCCTGAGTTAATGGAATTGTTACCAAATTTATTTTTGTTAAAAATTTAATTCATGTTTGCATTGCAGAAGCTCTGAGCAAAAGCAATTTGATTGTGAAATTTGATATAAGAAGTTAATTCTGCCGAGTCATTTGTATTAACTGCAGTGAAACTGAAAATTCAGCCCGGACACAAGAGAAAATGGCTACCGAGTAATACAGCGTTAAACCACTTGAGTACAAGCAGAGTTTTCTCAAGCGCATTCAGCTTACGATCTTAAAATAAATGGAGGGCCCATTTAACTGACGGCTTGAGGATAAGACTGCATACCCTTGAAAGGTTGCTTGTCTGCTCAAAGATTCGAGCATTTCAGAAAGCTTGATTGTTGAGACAACAGAAATTATTTGTCTTGTGAAGCGAAGCATTTAGAAACACTTGTGCAAAGAAACCTTACGTCAGCACAGCAAATAGGGCACTGCTTTGATGGTTAAAAACTAGGATCTAGGTCACTGTCATAAAGCAAACAGCAGGAACCTTAATCTGGGATTCAAACACTTTTAAACGGCACCAAGTTAGTGACTCCAGGATTATCCGCTTCATCTGTGGGCTGGCATTTCTGGGTCAAAACTGAAGCTGAGAAACAGCCCGGATGAAAATACTACATTTCTATAAGGGTTCCGACAGACGAGGGAGAACTGCCCCATCTCTGCTGGCCAACAGTGCCCTCCAATTCAACATGCAAATTTTGCTCTCTGTTCTGACCTAGGAAATGTAACTTCTCCACAATTATTCCTACTCTGAAGTTAATTTTCAGCAATGCTTACTGCGAAGTCAGGCCGTAGCTGGTCAGTATCCTTAACCACTTACTTGTCAGCTGCCATTTAAAACTGGCATAAGAAAGCACCGGTGAAGGTCTTACTCTGGTCAGTGGTATTAGTGTAATTCTTCATTGCCAGTTACAAAGGTGAAGGAAAATGAAGTATCACAGAGAGAGGTAGTACTGTAAGACAAATGTTCACGAGCTGTTGTCCAGACATAGTTCCTAACCCAAAACAC